AAAAATTTTTTTTTTTTTTTTTTTTTTTTTTTTTTTTTTTTTTTTTTTTTTTTGCAGGATGAACATCCTAATTAAAAGAAGAAAGAAACTACACAATACATTGATGTTACAAACTGAAATTAGTAGCTGGTACCAACGAAATCTGAAACACACAAAATACTTCAAGAGTTTCGAAAACGACAAGTACAGAAACACAGCTTGTATTAATTCTACAACTACAATAAAAGAGACAACTTAAAAACATGTTATGCTAAGAAGGCTAAAATTATCAAAAGACTAAAAACTTAGACAAAGCTGGGAGATAAAAAAGAGCTCAATTGGTACAAACTATCATATGATCAGGCGGAGGAGGAATATATGTAGGACTAAAATCAGTGATGAACTTTCATGCAAAAGGGAGCTTTGACACCAGCTAGAGCAAGAACAGATGCTGGAATTCCCCACAAGGATTCACCACATATGAGACCAGCAGCCACTGCAGGTCCAAAATCTTTAGCTTGCTGCTTGTTCAACATTTCCTAAATGAATAGAATTAATGACCCTATACACATGTCAATGGCCAAGTACCCTCCAAGGTAAAATGGTATAGACATGCACATTGGACTCGGCACGAACCGATAAATCCTATACCTGGTCTCTAATTTTTTCAGCAGCTGAGTCATTAGGTTTATCACAATAGCAGCCACAAAGAACCAAATAGAGAGCCCGAGGCAATGTTTGGGAAGACTTCCAAAACCTTCCACACCAAGTAGCGCGATTCCACAATACATTAATGCATATGGTGCAGGGTATGAACCTTTTGGATCACCCAATTTATAGGCATTGTGGAAAATCCAAAAGACTAGTGGTATTGTCACGATCCAAAATCCACTATAGGTCGTGATGGCGCCTAACGCCGGCGTCAGGCAAGCCAACAATGACTGATTCACTTAATTACTCATTTTTATTCCTTTTGAAATCATAATTTCCATTAATTATATAGTATGAAATAGAATTTACAGGGTGAAGCAATGATAATTACGTGAACTACCATACTAAACATCCAGTAAGAACCCCCAAAACCCGGTGTTACAACTGCATGAGCATCAACTAGAAAATATGATAAAATACAACATCTGTCTGGAATATAAATTAGACAGGAGAATGTAAATAACTCTGATGGAGACTCTGAGTGTTGCAGACTCGTAACATGGGATGCAACTCACCTAACTCCCCGCAATAGCCGCGCCTCTGTGCCCACAAGACCACTAGAGATATATGTACCTGCACAGAAA